TCCAGGGCGCCCCACGCAGCGCCGCGATGCTTCGCTCGGCCCGACGCAGGCCGCCGTCTGGCTTCAACCGGCGGCGATTCGGGCCCGCCTCCCCCCCGCAGGGGTGGCACCCCCAGCGGGCCCGCGCCTCGCAGTCCAGCGCCCTAATGCTGCCGCTTCACGGAGGAGAGCACCACGCAGGCGTCGGTCTTGACCCAGTGGGCCACCGTTCCTCCGACACGCCAGGTCCGACATCGGGGTGGGGGCGCGAACGCGACCGACGCCGCCTTCAACTTCAGGGGAGGGGGTCTTGTACAAAGGAAGCTGCGCCCCCATCCCTTCGCCCGCTCCGGGCTGGCCGACACCCTGCCCCCTGGCCCGCCCAGGGGGGCCTGGCTGCGCCGGGGAAGCCACCTCTGTCTCGCGCGGGTCTGCCGCGGACGGCTGCGACGCGGCCGCGGGCGTCGACTCTGGCTTGGGTGCTGCCCCGAGGTTTGGCGGGGGGCGTCACCGCGGGCGCCCCGCCCCCCCTGGGGGCGCTTTCGCCGTCGGCATCGTCGACTCAGGAACTCGTTCGCCCGGCATCGGCAGAGGTCGTCCGACTCCGCGCGGGCCCCCGGGCCTGGGAGCCAGATATGCCCAAGCCTGCTCCAGGAAGACCTGACGGAGGTTTTCCGTGTCCTCCAGGTAGCACTCGCAGGGGGTGGCGACTGCCCCGTCGCGGCCCAACCCCTGGGCGGCCTCGTCCAAGACGGCCTCCAGGAGTCCGGGGTCCACGCCAGCAGCGCCCGATGGTTCCCGCGAGGCAGCGGCCCCGGAACGCGGCGACGAGGGACGCGGCTGCCCTCCTCGATCTTCGCGGCCGGATCTCCTGCCCCCCCCGGAGGCGCACCGCCCGTCTGGGATCGGCATCCATCCTGCAGGCGAAATGGTGCAACCACTGGTCTGGCCCTGGCAAAGTGGGCCCCGCGCTGAGCTTCGCGCCTGCGGGGGCACACCCCCGCGCCAGGTCCTCGCCGTCGCGGGCAGTGATCTGCTGGACGCAGTCTGGCGCGCCACTCTGCGTCAGCCGACCCTCCGCCTTCCAGGGTTGCCATCGGGACCGACCACTTCAATGCGAGGGCGGGCGCGCTGATCACTGTAGTGCCCCTGAAGGGGGGCAGGTGGGGGCCCAATCCCCTGGGAAACGACGCGGTCCTCGGCCTCCTTGCGGACGCAGGCCCCCCCCCCCCCCCCCCCCCCCCCCCCCTTCTGCGCCAGCACCCGCATCGTTCGACTGGCAACGTCCGCAGAGGCGTTGAGGCATTGGGGGGAGAGAGAACGCTAGGAGGTGCACCAGCGACGGCTTGCACGACGAGGCGAATCCATACATGGAAAGGCCCAGCCAGTCCGAGCAGGGCGCCCCGCCAGCTCCCGAACAACCCGATCGGGCAGCGCGCGTGCGCGCGGGGCAGAGCCAGGTGCATCGGACCCACTTGGCCCCCATCCACCAGCAGCCCTCGCCCAGGCACATCGCGAGGACAAGCGCGCCCTCTTGCAGCAGGCGCGGCGCTCCCCACACAGGGGTGCGAAGACGACCCCGCCACCCCACACCTCCCAGCCATTGGTATCCGCGCAAGGGTTGTCGCCCAGGAGGAGGGGGGTCAGCCGTACGCCCACTAGGCCCCTGCAGTGCTCATACGCACCAAGGATTCACAGCCTACCGGGTGGGGTCAGGTAGCCGGCGCGCTCCGCTCCACAAGCGTCTTGGATAGGCCCCTCGTCGTCCGAGTCCTCGTGTTTCCCCGCAGCGGGCGACGCCCTCCGACGGCACCTCCCCGCACAGCGGCACCCTCCCGGGGTCAGCCAGCAGCAGCAGCAACAGCAGCAGCAGCAGACGAGCAACCCCCTCTGGGCCAGCCCACTGAGGAGGCAGAGGATTCCGCGGAGCCACCCGCAGCAGGTGCAGACGGGGCTTCCGTCAGGGCCACCGCGCCCACAGCCGTGTAGAGGCGGCTGCCGCCCAGTTGCCGCGCGCGGTGCACTGTTCCTGCTGGCACGGGTGGGCCGTCTTGTCAGGGGCCTCCTCCAGCCGACGGCGGAGCCTGCCTGCCCCTCCCTCTGGGCCGCCAGAAGATTATCACTGCCCCTTTCCAGGCGGGCCCTCTCGCCCTCGATATGCAATGGCGAAACGTGGTTGGGCCTCCGATAGTTCAGGCGCCTGAAAACTCGCTGGGTGACCTCCTTGAAAACTCGCTGGTGGCCTCCCGGCCCTCCAGGCCCCTCCAATCCAGACCCTCCAGGGTTACCAAATCAGAAGGGGCGCCGCTGCGGTCCGCCTCCTCGTCGTCCTCCGCGCCGTTGGCATCAGCCAGAGGGGGGGGACGGCAGCGGCCGCGCGGGCGCATGTCTAAGCACACCCGCCGCTTCTGTCAAGTAATATATTGCGGGCCACGTCTCCGCGCGCACGTCGACATCGCTCCCAGACTTTTGGTTTTGCAAGCGTTTCAAAACGAAGGCGTTCAACAAGATACGACAACTCAGCGGCATTCAACGCCTAATAATACAAAAAACTTTGACCTCCTGTAAACGTACACTTCCTCCTGATCCTCAGCAGCACAATATTAAACATCATCGTCAGCATCATCATCATCATCAGCAGCAGCATCAGCATCATCAGCATCATTATCATCAGCAGCATCAGCATCATATCATCATCACCACCACCACCACTACCATCACCATCATCATCATCATCATCATCATCATCATCATCATCATCATCACCACCACCACCACCACCACCATCGTCATCATCATCATCATCATCAGCATCATCATCATCATCATCACCACCACCATCATCATCATCATCATCATCATCAGCATCATCATCATCATCGTCATCATCATCATCATCGCCACGACCACCATCACCATCATCATCACCACCACCATCAGCATCATCATCATCATCATCATCGTCATCATCATCACCATCATCACCATCATCATCATCATCATCATCATCATCATCATCATCATCATCATCATCATCATCATCATCATCATCATCGCCACGACCACCACCACCATCATCATCACCACCATCATATCATCATCATCATCATCATCATCATCATCATCATCGTCATCATCATCATCGCCACGACCACCACTACCACCACCATAATCATCATCACCATCATCATCATCAACAGCATCATCATATATTTCTCCTCCTCCTCATCTTCATCCTCATCAGCATTACTATCGTCGTCATCATCGCCGCCGCCATCATCACCATCATTGTTCATGTCGTCGCCCGCGTCAACGTTGTGAGCGCGGGCGCCTCCTCGTCATAATCACCAGCACCATCGTCATCTTCATCGACAGCGCCAACGTTGTCACCATCATTATCATCACCATCAGTTTCATCTGCATCACCGTCGTCGTCGACATCGCATCGTCCTCATCACCACTGCCATCACCATCGGCATCAGCGCCATCACCACTGTCATCGCCATTGTCATTGGCGTCGCGATCGCCGCCATCGCCACCAGAATTGCACGACCACGTGCGACCTGCAGGACAGATTTGTCTGCAAGGTTGAGTTCCACGCGCCCGTGTGCTCGTTGAGATCACGGCCAGATGAAATGTGCTGTCAAGTTGCGGGCGGAAGGGTGGGATGAGGCTGCTTGCACCAGCAGAAAGTTGACGACTTCAAGAACTTCACAAGGTCAATGCACCTCAAAGATTGTACCACGTAGCGTGCATCGCAGACTACGCACATCTAGAATGCAACCACGCACTGTTTGGGACCCACGTTGGAAACACTTGTTCCTCGGATCACCCCACACGCACCCAATCGCTGCCCTCTGAAGAGCAGTGGGAGGGCTGTAGCCCTAAGAGGCCCGGGATTCGTTGATGCGGACTTTGTTCCTGAGAAGACGGCGACACCAGGACTGGGGAAGGCGAGGAGGGGATTCGGGAGGGGGTAGGGAACGACAGGGGCAGGAGGGGACGGAGAAAAGGGGAAGGAAAAGAGAGAGAGGGAGAGACAAATAGAAAGAAAGAAGAACAACAACAAATTAGCCTGGCGAAGGACCCAACCATATGCAGTTGTGAATACAACAATTGTGAATACCATCTTCGTCCGCGCTCCCCATGTGGCCACGGCTTCCCGCCGGAGCCCGACATGCTCAGGAACACGTTCGTGGCCGTCTTCGCGGGCGCCGACGACGGCAAGGACGGCGTCCCTCTGACCGAGGAGCAGAAGCAGGAGAGGGCTTTGAGAGCCATGAGGAAGGAGGTGGCGTTGCACGTCGACAAGGCGGATTACGACGCCCAGGCGCGGTTGTTGAAGCAGCACAACTATGGAGTCACGATCCTTGTGAGGGGTGTGTCGCAGTGGCCCGGGGCCGCCATGCGAACCCTGCCACTGGCGCCTTCGGTGGAGCTCCTGTGGGGCCACGGTCCTCGTGAGGGGTGTGCCGAAATGCCCCGAGGCCGCCATGCGAACCCTGCCACTGGCGCCTTCGCTGGACCTCCCTATGTGGCCATGATTCTCGTGAGGGGTGTGCCGAAATGGTCCGAGGCCGCCATGCGAACCCTGCCACTGGCGCCTTCGCTGGAGCTCCCTATGTGGCCATGATTCTCGTGAGGGGTGTGCCGAAATGGCCCGAGGCCGCCATGCGAACACTGCCGCTGGCACCTTCGTGGAGCTCCCTATGGGGCCACGATCCTCGTGAGGGGTGTGCCGAAATGGCCCGAGGCCGCCATGCGAACCCTGCCGCTGGCACCTTCGCTGGAGCTCCCTATGGGGCCACGATCCTCGTGAGGGGTGTGCCGAAATGGCCCGAGGCCGCCATGCGAACCCTGCCACTGGAGCCTTCGGCGGAGCTCCCTACGGGGCCACAAAACGCTGCACTGAGTGGGTGAAACGCAGGGAGGAAGGAGGAGAGGAGAGGAACGCGGGGCACCGTCTCTTCAGAACGAAGACCCAACACCGCAGGTTGGTTGGGAAAAAGGAATGTATCGGCGCCACGGTGGCCCACCGCGGCCTTCGTACTCGTTGGGCTCCTCCATCACGGACGGGGGGCCCCAGTACACCTCGCCGGGCGGCGGCGCGCGCGCCCTCCCCTCCGACCGTCCTCATCGTGGTCGTATTCCTCGTCGTCTCATTATGTCCATCTATCTTCGCCCTCATGGTCGTCGCCCTCCTCTTGATCTTCCTCCTCCTCCTCCTCCTCCTCCTCCTCCTCCTCCTCCTCCTCCTCCTCCTCCTCCTCCTCCTCCTCCTCCTCCTCCTCCTCTTCTCGAACCCTCTTCCATCTCCCACGTCATGATCCTCTCCCCTCCTCCTAATCCTCAGGACGTGGGAGGAGAGGGGAGGCGAGAAGGAGGAGGACGACGACGACAAAATAGGATAGGAGGAGGAGGAGGAGGCAGAGGAGGCGGAGTAGGCGGAGTAGGCGGAGGAGGAGAAGAGAAGGTACGAGGAGGATGTGGCGCCGACGACATGCCGTTCGTGTGACCGAACAGCAATAGGCTAGAGAAGAGGCAACACGGGCATGAAACGATATTTAGGAGAAAGCGCCGGGCAAGTTTGTCCCCAACACCCTTATGCACACACTCCAGCAAAGCGGTCTGACGGACAGCCCGAAGAAAATAGGCGACGGTTTCCTGCCCGCGACGTTCCTGGCACTGCGCAGGACGTACGCCCATGACATCGTGGCCCAAGTTGCGCATCCACGAGCGCAACGGCAGCGTGCCCTCTGCTCGCTTCAGGACGCGCCTCGTGGCCGTGGTGGCCGCCACGCAGCCCGACATCTTCAGGTTAAGGCCCGAGCCGAGAGCGAAGAAATCCTGCTGGAAGAGCCTCACCGCCTTGTCCAGGTAGCGCACGCCCGCGGCGTCGGGGCCCACGAACTGGATGGAGACGTCGTCAACCAACGCCCTCGGGTTGAGCGTCACTGGCGCCTGCCTGATGCGCAGAAGCGCCCTCAAAGTGAGCAGCTCAAGCATGCTTGCACCCCGCCAGCAGGCCCTGCTCTGTGCAGATCGAGTCTGACGGGGGTCCGTAGCCCTTCAGCCGTCGCGGCAGGCGATACTGCCGAATCAACGTCCAGAGCATGCGAAGCGGGTAACCCCAGTGGACGCCCTCCTTGAAAAGCTGCGAGGGCCGCACCAAGTCGAAGGCCTTGGTCAAATCCAAGCGGGCCGTCACAACCAAGAAGCCCCGCAGCACCCCGCCGCCAGGGGGAGGAGGCGCTGTCGGATGAATTGCAGCAGCCGCGGTTGTCGTAGACGTGCTCGCCGCAATGAACGGCTGACCATTCGCGAAAAACTGGCCTCTGCAACCTCCCTCAAATCCGAAGAAATGTGTCGCTCGCAGAAATCAAGCGACGACCGCCCGACTCTGGCTTGGGGATTCGACACATCATGGACCACAGCCAGTCAGATGGCCAAGGCCCTCGCATCGCTTAAAACAAACAGCCATGGCCTCCAAAGCGTCGTCCAAGAGGTGCCCTAGCATACTGATGTAGCCGGCTGGAATGGCAGTATAGCCGCTCGTACCTGCGCCACCAAGATCGACGGAAACTCAGGCCAGTCCGCCGCTTCACGTGGGCACGCCACCGGCAAACACTCGTGCAGGGTCCACACCTTGCGCCTATCTTCGAGGTCGTGGTTGATCGATGTGTCAGGCTGGATGCCGTCGCGCAGGTGCAACCAAGGCACCGCCTGGTTCAACGGCTCGACCCTGGAGGCCTTGTGAGCCACAGGCGCCCCCCGCAGAAGTGCCTGCTTGGCCCATGTCGTCCAGGCCTGGCGAGCATCATTTTGATGCCGCGTGGTCCCCACACACAAGTACGCGCACGCGCAACCAAGACCTGCAAACCCGATTCAAAGAATGACAAAAGTTGCTGCGGGAGGCGACCCAGAACGGCACGGCTGCGCAGCACATTGGCCAAGAAAAAGGCGACCTCGTGCAGGGCCGCGAGGATGGTCGTGCACTGCTCCAGAGAGAAGTCGCACAGTACGTGCGAGAACTGGGATTCCGTGACCGAGTCCCGCAGGCGCCCTCGTTGCCGCCTCAGATGTCCCAGTCAACGGAGCACCGTGCTCCAAGCAAGAGTTCAGGCCGCTCGATAGCACGCTTGGCCGGCGGCTGCCAGCGCACCTGCCGCCAGAAGAACCGCGGCTGCCCCGCCCGGCCGCAGTGGACCAAGGCTCGGAGATCTACCACATCATAGCGGTTCGCGAGCTCGCATTCGACCCCCGAAATCATGTGGTCCCAAGCCCCAGCTAGGTCATGCGAGGTGCTCGCCGCTTCGAAACGGCTGATGCTCCAGTCGAAAGGAAAACGTGCACAACACACGGGGGTCTCACGCGGCAGCGCCTTGGGCAGGTCAGGCAAGAGCCTCCACACCAGGGTGTCCTGCGACTGGACCGTGAGAATAACAGGAAGGTGCGGGTACAAGTCGGCACCCTCGTCGACCTCCCATTGAGACGCGCCGCCAGGTTGCTGGAGGCCACGAGGAAATCGATGATGGTGCCAGGCGTCGCCTTGCGGCAGGTCGACGTCGTGGGCACGAAAGCCACAGCCGAAACGGCTTCGACCCAGGGATAAGACAAGGCCTCAGTAGGCGTGTTGTTCCAATCTCCGCCCACAAGCCGGTTTGGCCCAGCGCATTTAGCTGAAAAGGGACCTGCACCATGTTCCAAATACGAGCAGCATTGGAGGTACGCGGGAGAGAATGAAGAACGAGGAGGAGGAGGAAGAGGAAGAGGATGATGAGGATGAGGATGAGGATGAGGATGAGGATGAGGATGAGGATGAGGATGAGGATGAGGATGAGGATGAGGATGAGGATGAGGATGAGGATGAGGAGGGAGGAGGAGGAGGAGGAGGAGGGAGGAGGGAGGAGGAGGAGGAGAAGGAAGAAGAGGAGGAGGAGGGAGGAGACAGGAGGAGCCGCCACCGCCTTGTAGTTCAGGGTGTGCGGGAAGTTGAACCTGCGATGCAAGGCCGAGCGGGGAAGGCTGGCCTCGTCCTCAGCGCGGGGGATAGCGAAGAAAGTCGTTGCCGCCACCGCCGACAAGGCAGAAGCTGACGCCGCCGTCGTCGCGGTCGTCGTCGTCGTCGAGGTAAACAAGGAGGAGGAATAGAAGGAGAACATGGACAGGAGAAGGAGGAGGGAAGGTGGAAGAAGAAGAAGAAGAAAAGGAGGAGGAAAGGGGAAGGACTGAGAGGAAGAGGACGAGGAGGAGGAGGAGGACGAAAAGGAAAAGAAAGGAGAAGGAGGAGGGAGGAGAGGAGGAGGAGGAGGAGGGGGAGGAGAGAGGAGGAGGGGAGGAGGGGGGGAAGGAGGAGAGGAGGAAGAGGAGGAGGAGGAGAAGCAGCAGGAGGAGGAGGAGGACGACGACGACGATGAGAACGACGACGAGGACGACGACGAGGACGAGGAGATCGTCGCCCGCCCGCCCGCCAGCCGCACGCCGCCGTGGACGCCGCCGCGGCCGCCGCCGCGGCCGCCAGAGGGAGAGTGGGGAGGGAGGAGGAGGAGGAGGAGGAGGAGGAGGAGGAGGAGGAGGAGAGAAGGACGACGACGAGAGGAGGAGGAGGAGGAGGAGGAGGAAGAGCAGGAGGTGGAGGAGGGGGAGGAGGAGGAAGAGGAATAGGGCGAGGAGGAGGGGGAGGAAGAGGAGGAGGAGGAGGAGGAGGCGGAGGAAAGAGAAGGGGGGGGAGGAGGAGGAGGAGGAGGAGGAGGAGGAGGAGGAGGAGGAAGAGGAGGAGGAGGAGGAGGAAGAAAAAGAAGAAGAGGAGGAGAGGGGAAGACCCAGGAGGAAGAGGAGGAGGAGGCAAAAAAAAGAAGGGCGAGAAGAAGAGGAGGACGAGGAGGAGGACGAGGAGGAGGACGAGGACGAGGAGGAGGAGGAGGAGGAGGCGGAGGAAGAGGGAGGAGGAGGAGGAGGAGGAGGAGGAGGAGGAGGAGGAGGAGGAGTAGAGGGAGGAGGAGACAAGCGTCGTCGTCGATCTGCCCCGAGAGGCCGCGCATCCTGAAGCTTCGTGAGCGGCGTTACGAAGCCGCGCCGGTCAGCCTCCTCCTGGGGAGCGCGCTCGGGGGCGCGTTGCAGCGAGAGCTGGTCTCCCTCCTCCTCCTCCTCCTCCTCCTCTCTCCTCTCCTCCTCCTCCTCCTCCTCCTCCTCCTCCTCCTCCTCCTCCTCCTCCTCCTCCTCCTCGTATTGGTAGCCGCGCGGCCCAGGCGTCGATGCAGACGCGGCTGCTCCGCGGGTGGCGAGTCGGCCGACACCCCGACGCCCTAGCTCCGCGCCCCCACCCGCCCCGGACCGAACCTGCTTCATTTCCCTCACTACCCACATTCCGTTACATGCATGCTCTGCATGAATGTGTTTGCTTCTCGTGTCTGAGACTGGTACGTGAGAAATGTAATGACCACGCGGTGGGCGTCGGGAGCATGCGCATCGCGTGTTGGAATCCGCTATGGCTCGCTGATCGTGACACAGAGCTGGAAAAAACAGCATGGAAAAAAAACACTGGTCTCATCGTGATGATCGACACGCAGCACAAGTGCCCAGCGATTGCCTCCTACGTGGTGGGGGACCGCCGAGATTCAAGGTCATCCACTGCGGGTATGGGAAGGGTGAGTACACGTACTGTGCATGCGGTCTCTTGATCCAGAAGCATCCGCCACCGTGCCGCTGGGCACGGAGTGGGCGTGTCCTCAGGTCCTGGGCCCAATCCTCTAAGCCTCAATCCTCTCTCCTGAGAAGTCTTGATCGGGCCCAGACCCCTCGCTCTCAAATCTCCCAGGGCTTCCTGCGTGCCCCCTGGGGCTCAGCGCGTGCCCCCTGGGTGCCCCCGCATCTTGTCGCGTGACTTTTTCGGGCCCAAGAGGGCCCCAAGACGGGCCGAGAAAGCCTCGAGAGGCCCACCAAGACGGTCCAAGAGGGCCCCGAGTCGCCGAACGACCGCTCCAAGACGCTCAAGATGGCCCCCCGACGGCACAAGAGGCCACCAAGACGCCCCAAGAGGCCTCCAAAAGGTCTCCTCTGAGAGGGCAAAGTTATTGATGTTCTCTTGGTTTTTCAAAGATTTGGGCGTTCTCGCCGTTTCGGCTTCCCGACGCTAACGGCCCTAGAGGCCCCGAAGACTGCCCCAAAACGGCCCAAGAGGGCCCCACGACGGCCCAAGAGGTGCCCAAGAGGTGCCCAAGACGGCCCCAAAAGGAGCCCAAGAGAGGGAACACGAACCGAAAATCTGAGCCTTCCGCCCTAAGAGGCCCCCCGGAGGCCCCAAGAGGCCCCCGCAACGCAACGCAACGTCCGACCGAGCAGCTCGGGGAGCGGCTCGCCCCATAAATGAGGCGGACATACAAAATGACTGTTGCACATGCATAGCAAGCACACCCCTCCCACGCGTTCAAAAATTACATGCGGCTGTTGGTCACAAACTGAGAAGACTCCTCCTCGAGAGCAGTTCATGGAAAACGAATACCTTGTCGCAATGATTCCTGCATAAAAAAACCGTTCGCCGACAAAACCTAGCACACAGAGAAGAAGCGCAAAAGAGGCCCGTGAGGCCCCAGAACAGCACCCAAGAAGCCTCCAAACTGCCTCCAAGAGGCCCCCGAGGGGCGTCCCACGCGAGCCCAACGAACATCCATATCCACAACCCAGGCACGGTGGCAGGATGGGCCGAAAGCCATCAGATCCGCCGCCCCCTATTGGCTTACCACAAGGGTGCCTGGCGTGCTAGACCCTTTCGATTTCGGTTCTTTTAGAGAACTCCCTGGGGCTTCGGCCCGTCCCGCCGAAATCCCGGAAAGTTCCCAAAATGCCGGGGTGGTTCCCCTTGTCGCCTCCAAGACGGCCAAGATTGCCCAAAATGGCCTCCAAGATGCGTCCAAGACGGCCAAGGTGGCCTCCAAGACAGGTAAGATGGCTCCAAGATGCCTCAAGACGGCCTTCCAAGACGGCCAAGATGGACCCAAGATGCCTCCAAGATGGCCTAAGAGATCTCCAAGACGTCCTCCAGGAGAGCCCGAAGAGGCCAAAATTATTGGTTGTCCTTAGGTTGTTGATAGAAAGATCGCCTCAAGATCGCTCAGGACGCCTCCAAGATGGCTCCATAATGGCCCAAGAGGCCCCCAAGACGGCACCAAGACGACTCCAAGATGGCTCAAGATGGTGCCCAAGACGCCCAAGACGGTCTCCAACACGGCCAAGATGAGCTTCAAGACGACCAAGATGGCCGCTAAGACGGCCAAGATGGCCCAAGATGGGCCCGAGAGGTTCCAAGATTACCCCAGGAGAGTCCAAGAGGTGCTCCAGGAAGGCCCGAGGGAGCCAAACTCTGCAAATTTCCTCAGGTGTTTGAAGGATTACTGTTTTTCCTCGGTTTTGGTGTTCCGACCGCCTAAGACGGCCCAAGGAGTCCCCAAACTAGTCTCAGGGGCCTCCTAGATGGCTCCAGAATGGCCCAAGAGGCCTTCAAGCCAGCCCCAACAGGGCCCTAAGACGGCCCAAGAGGTCTCAAAAACGGCCAAGATGGTCTTCACGATACCTCAAGACTGCCAAGATGACCTCCAAGACGACCAAGATGGCATCCAAGACGGCAGAAATATGTATCCTCCAACATGCCTCCAAGACGGCCAAGAAGGCCTCCAAGACGGCGAAGATGGCCCCAAGATGCACCCGAGACGGCCCCAGATGGCCTGAAGATGGCCTTAGACTGCCCAAAAGGCCCGCCAGAGGCCTCCAAGACGGCCCAAGACCCCTCCAAAACGTCCTCCAGGAGACCCGAAAGCTCGGAAACCACCTGGTCCGAGAGCTCGCCCGACTCCGTGTTCCCTAAAGGCTTTCGAAACCCACTCGAGGAACGCGTGGCCCGATAGCTTGGCCAAGCTCAAACCCAACTTTCGGCCACGCAGGCGCTTCCGAAAAGGCAAGGGGCGGCGGTGATTCGCCGTAGGCGTCTTCGATACGATGAGAAGCTAAGATATTGTGAGAATATGGTGTGCGCCCAAGTCGACCAAGGAAAGAGCGACGGCGATGCGAGTCAAGAACTACTACGGGGACGGAACCTGCATTGGTCTCTATTTTCTGCCCCGAAGCCGTGACCCTCGCAAACAGATGAAGCTCGCACACACGATTGATCAGGTACACGATTTTGCTTAGAGCGTGATGGTAGTTCTTCCTTGCAAATCTTACCCAATTCTCGCATCAGCCGTCAACGACGGCATAAAGATTGTTCTAGACCGGCACGGCTTGGTACACGCTGATTCAATGGCTGTAGGACCGCACGGACGCAGCCTCGAACACAAAGCTGGCACCCTGATGAGGGAGCTGGCCCAGACGCATAGCACGGCAATGGTGTACACCCTTTTCCCGTGTGGCCCTTCGTACTACGGTGCCAGGCCAATCGCAAGTCTACGATAGAGGGTGCTGTGGACATGAGCGCCCCACGTTCCTGCTCGAATCAGAATACGCAACATGTCTCATGGATCTATCACGTGTGTATTCCGTCGGCGAGTGGCGAAAATACGGCGCTTCGCCTTGAGGTATCGAGCTGGTCGGCGCCTTCAGGGCATACCAGACAGCCGGCCTCGCGACCACATCCCGTCCATCCTGGAGATTGACCTCAGACCTTGCTACCCCAATAAAGAACAGACGCCAAGATGGGACTTTGTGAGCCGTGGCCAAGCACTACGGAATAAATATCATGCTGACACATTCAAAGAATGAATGGACGAGGCCATTCCGGAAGTTCTGAATGTATGAAGTTTGACTTCTGTTGGAGAACTGGTCCAGACTGAAGCATCTTTGGGAAAAGTGTGGCATGGCATGATTCAGCTGTTGCAGACATGTGGGATGATGATGTTCGAAGCGAACCAGACTGCTGCGCCTGCCTCATATCAAGCCTTAGCCAAGGAGAGGCTTGCTGCCCTTCGTGCTCGAAGCAAGGCCAGGGAGCAGATGACGGAGTCATTGGAGTCTGTGCTACACCTAGGGCGACTCACGGGAAAGAATAGGGCATTACGGCGAGAGCTTCGAGAAACACGGGAGTCGCAGCTGGCAGAGTTAGCGGAGGCTCAGAACGAGGGGATCGCGTTGGAGTAGAGGATTTGTCGATTGATGGCGGGAGCTGGGGTAGGACCTCATCGACGTAGATACGGACACACTGCTGAGTACACGCCAAGCATGGAGGAGTGGAAGGAGGATCTCGCTTTGCCATCGTGTGAAGGAGGCATGTCGGCCAAAGAGATTGACGAAAATGAGTTTCTAGATGGTGCGGTTAGGTATAATTCAAATGAGGCGCCGAATTTAGAGCCCAAGGAGTGGGGTGCTGGGGACCATGCACTTATTGCGGCTGGGTTTCGTACTGCTAAAGGTCGACGTGCTGCTGTGCCGTGGAGTGTGCCGAGTGAAGCGTGGTCGTTGCTGTTATCGACTCGCCCTGAGGGCACTGACAGGGTTGCGGGTATAGGAGCTGCTCTGCCTAAAAGACGAAGAGAACTTATGGAGAGATGGATTGCTAGCATCTGTACCGAAATTAGACAACACTGGCGCCTCGTGGTGCACTGTGATATGTCGGTAACGTATCAGCCCCCGAAAGAACGGTAAGACCAGAACTCAGGGTACTGGATTAGCAAATGGGCTTTGTTCGTTTGGGAAGATATAGGTTGGAACAGCTGCCAGAAAGGCTCGGGACATGCCGTATCATGACAGCGCGTACCTCCCCAGAAGGTCTAGGACGGGGGTGGTGCGTACCACGGCTGCCCTAACATGGAGAACTCAGAAGGGTAGAGCTTCAACCTTGGGTACAAGACATGACATGGGAAACGCGTTCGGTTCGGTTCAACATAGTTCTCTCGATGGAGCTATTGATCGCATGTATGCCCCTGGGGACGCGTCTTTCCTTAACCTACGGCATCGGCGCGCGTGCTTCAGAATATGTGGTGATGGGGAACATCGTGTGTTCAAACTCGGAGGGGGGCTACATAGGGGATACCAACGCCGCCATCGTGTTCCAGGATCTGGTTGTGCCTCCCATTGCAGAATGGCAAAAGGCGCACCAGAAGTAC